GTGGTAGAGCACTAGCCTTGAGCTGAAGAGCTGAGGGAAGCGCCCAAGCCGAGAGTTCAGGCCCCACGACCGGACCAAAAAAAAAAAAAAAGAATCCTCTGATCGATGTACAAAACGTTATGTCGAAAAATGAACTTTACAACTTTGGTGGGGGGGGGGAGGGGGGTGGATGGGAAGGGATGGGAAGGGGAAACAAAGGAGGAGGCTGCAATGCTTGATAAGAAATGTACTCATTATCTTGCCCATGTAATTGTAACCCCTCTGCACAGTTTTGTCACAATTAAAAAATACATTTATTAAAAAAAAAAAGAATCCTCTAATCCTGTGTGTGCAAATAGCCAGCCAATTACAGCCCTGAAATACCAAACCCAAATTCTTCCTGTGTAGGCACAGAAAAAAAAAATTAAATATAAGGAAAAGACAAATACAGGCTTATTTCACAAATTCCTTGACCCTGTAGAGTTGTGAACACCTGGTAAATTGGTCAGTTTTGTTTTTTTTTTCCAGCCAGTATGTAAAGAAAGAATTGTTTAAGACTATGAAAACCTTTCATTTGGGGCTAAGCAACCAATTTCTCAGTTATTCCAAGGACTGACAATCTCTCCATGTAATCAACAATGGAGAGTGTGTATGTGGCGGGGAGGGGGAGGGTGGGTATAGTGGTGATGCCACTTTGTACTATTGTTTTTAAAGGAGTCTGGCTGTAGGGAGCTCTTGCAGATGCCTTTATTGGCAGCTTCAACCTGGTTCTTTGGAGTTACCATGGCAACAAGAAGCCAAATCTAGGGAGGGGGCACTGTTTATTGGTGAGAGATCAGGAACCAACTGAAAGGACAGTTTTTTTGAAGGAAGCTGGGATTGTTGGCAGTGGAAAGGGTGGGAAAGGGATTGAGCAGGATGTTTATGTATTAGTATAGGATGAATCCAGACACCTAGACCTCTTGGCAGTATAGATACACAAGTAGCAAAACCCACAGAACACAAGAAGACTGCCTAGTAGCTTTCTGGCATGGTTTCTGCATCCTAATTGCCTATATTTCAAAGATAGGAGTGAATGACCCTGGGAGAGGTCTAGAAGCTAGAAATGGTTTGTCTGTCTGTCTCTTTCTCTCTCTCTCTCTCACACACACACATACACACACACACACACACACACACACACACACACACACACACACACACACACACACACGCTCTGAAGTATTAATGGTGTCCTGTAGGAACAGGAAGAGTCTGTTCCTCTAGAAAGCCAAGAAATGGCAGAAGCTGCCTGTGGCTGGGTAAAACTCACCTGGGAGGTGAGTGAGGTTTGTATTTGAATTCCTGGTGACACAGACACATGGTTTTCACTGATTGCAATCTTCCAGACAGTAGAAACAAAATGCTTCTTTTAGGGAGCAGCTAGAGTGTACAGGAGAGTGTGCTTTTCTTATAGTCACCTTGAATCTCATGCCTATCATCAGCTGAAACTCTTCACCCCCAACTTAGCCATCCAGCATGCTCAGGGTCAAGGATCAACTTCTCCTTCCTTTCTTCCCTACCTCTTTGATTTTTTCTTTCTCTAGAGTAGGAGGCTCCAGGGGACCACAGCTGACTCTACCAGGCACAGAGGGTTGAGTCATCCTGCAGGCGTCAGAGCTGTTAGCAACAGCTCTGCTGATCTGTATGCAGCTCCAACTCCCTCTCCAGTTCAGAGTTTGGGAGCTGTCTTGTTCGAAAGTAAAGAACAGAACACAGATGGCTGGTAACAGGATCCCACAAGGGCCTCCTTTCCCACTGAGCCCATCCTGCTAATCCTTTTACAGAAGAGAAAAATAAATGGTGAATGGAGAAAAAAAAAAAAAAAAAGAGTATCAGCGTCTACATGTTCTGTGGATCTTTGGTGGAAGGTCACTGAGAAGGCTTCTGGCTATCCATTAAATTTCCCAAGCATCTTCCCTCCCAGGTTCTTCTTTCTCCTCACTCTTTTCTTCCCCCTCTGTGCCTCTCATTTTCTATTCCATCTCTTTGTTCTCTGTAGTGTTTTTCAATCTGATGGAGTATTCTGCCTGCATATCTTCTATTTGAGCCAGACATTCCTCTCTACTTCATGTCCGTAAATCTGATCCAGGGTCTTTCACTCCTAAACTCGAGTGATCCTCCTGCCTTAGCCTCCTCAGTAGCTGGAATTACAGATATGAGCCATCTGCATATGGCTGCTCTGTCATTTACTGGCTGTATGAGCTTGGACAATTTCTCTTATAATATATATATATATATATATACACATATGTATATGTGTGTGTGTGTGTGTGTGTATATATATATATACTAAAATGCACTTTGCCAACTGGCTCACATATTCTGTAAAGTTAGAAAGAGGTAAGATGTAGAATTTTGAATATAATAAGTGTCTAATTCTTTCTCTTTCCTTTCTGTTGTAATAAAGGTATGGTGTTTCTTAGAAAAAGTGAGACAGGTGCTGTGGCTCATGCCTGTAATCCTAGCAGCTAAGAAGGCTGATAGCTGAGGATTGTGGTTAAAAACCAACCCAGGCAGGAAAGTCTGTGAGACTCCTATCTCCAGGCAGGAAAGTCTGTGAGACTCCTTTCTCCAATTAACAACCATAAAACCAAAAGTAGAGCTGTGGCTCAAAGTGGTAGAGTGCTAGCCTTGAGCAAAAGAGCTCAGAGACAGAGCTCGGCCCTGAGTTCAAGCCCCACAACTGACAAAAAAATAAAAAAGAAGAAGAAGAGCTCAGAACTCAGGGACAGCATCCTAGCTCCAAGTTCAAGCCCCACTACTAACAAAAACAACAACAAAAAAGTGTTCCACTGAAAAAGATAGCATTCATGCTCAAAGTGCTTCTGTTGCAATTGTGGAAAGAAAAAAGAGTAGACAGTAGGTATGAGTTTTATAAGATTAGAAGACTTTGTAAAATCTAGCATGTCAATACATTAATATTGCTTTTCCCTAATATAGGAATTCTTCATGAAGATTGCTGTTTTTTGCCTACTAACTGTACAGAATTTTCCTTAGAAGATAAGATGCTGGGATGCTGGTTGAATGTATGGCTAAAGGTAAGGAATCATCAGTCATCTGTATTTCCATCTCTACTAGTGGGTGGTGGGGCACATGTGCGTATTTTCCTTCCTTTTGAGCTTCATTAGAACACAAGATCACTGCTATTCTTCACTCTAGGAAACAAGGAGGGATGGGTGGAAGTCTGTAAATGCCAGGAGAAAAGTTATGTGCAGGATGGTATTAGCTTTGGCACTGAGTCTATCGGAAGTGTTTGTACAATCAGGTCAAATGCCACTGTTCAATTTATGTGATTACCAAAGACACAGCTGACACAGGGTTGTGGTTTGACATGGTTCCTTTGTTGCAGGTAATAAACATGTGTAATGTCAATTATACTAATCTGTTTTGCTCTAGTTGAAACAAGAAGGAGGCTGATGATGAGGCCAGGACACTGTAGCTCATTCTGTCCGACCAGGCAGCTCTCTGACAACACGTTTTTCCTGTCTCTCTTTGTAACTGCTAATTAGGTTCTCAGCTGAGCTGTCAGGAATCTTGACAGGTTTCACAGGCAGTCACCATCTGACAATTTACAACTTTGGGCTTTTCACAGCTGGCATGTTCCCTCCCAGAAAACTGAAGTTTCTCAATCCTATGCTCCTCCTATCATTCAAAGATGATCTAAGAGGAGAGCTAGCTTTCTCAATGTATTGTCTAATTCCAGAGCAGACTGTGGTCTTATGATGGTGGTGGGGAAACCTCTGAATCTGTGTGTGAAGTGAGTAGTAAGAGATGACTCCATGGTTTGGTAATGGAGAAGGAGTCATCAAAGCAAGAAGAAACTTGAAAGGATCAGAATTTGACATAGCTTTTCAAAATGAGGAAAAAAAGTTAATAAAGTTGCCTTTTCTTGTGTGTGTGTGTGTGTGTGTGTGTGTGTGTGTGTGTGTGTGTTGACCATGGGGCTTGAACTCAAGGCCTAGCCTCTACCACTTTGAGCCTTAGAACCACCTCCAATTTTCTGGTGGTTAATTGGAGATAAGCATCTCACAGCCTTTCCTGCCTCAGCTGGCTTTGAACTGTAATCCTCAGATCTCTGCCTCCTAAGTAAGTAGGATTACAGGTGTGAGCCACTAGCACCTGGCTTTAAAGTTGTTTTTGCTTTTGGGTGGGTGATGCAATTTAGTGGTAAAGCACTTGTAGCATGCAAAAAATAAATGACTATTCTTTTCCCTCTCCTTTTCCTCATTCCCCCACCTCCTCCGGCCCCATGGTACTGAGGATTGAACTGAGGGTATCACATTTGCTAAGCAAGCCTCTGCCGCTTGAGCTGTTCCCCCAATAGTAGCCTTTAACTCTTAACTCTACCCCCCAAGGAGAGCTAGGATACCAGGTGCACACCATCACACCTGGCTTTTCTTCTGCTTTAAAAAGTTCAGTTCTTGGGCTGGGAATGTGGCTTAGTGGTATAGTTGCCTAGCATATATGAAGCCCTGGGTTCGATTCCTCAGTAACACATAAACAGAAAAAGTCAGAAGTGGCGCTGTGGCTCAAGTGGTAGAGCACTAGCCCTGAGCACAGAAAGGCTCAGGGGCAGTGCCCAGGCTCTAAGTTTAAGCCCTGGGACTGGCGAAAGAAAGAAAGAAAGGAAGGAAGGAAGGAAGGAAGGAAGGAAGGAAGGAAGGAAGGAAGGAAGGAAGGAAGGAGGGAAGGAAGGAAGGTGTCCATACTACCTGAACAATTAAATTGCATTGAAATAGCCAAAAAAAAAAAAAAAAAGGAAGGAAGGAAAGGAAAAAGATAAAAACTCAATTCCTGCTGGTGGCTTACATCTGTAATCCTAGTTACTCAGGAGGCTGAGATCTGAGGATCACAGTTAAAAGCTAGTTCAGGCAGGAAAGTCCATGAGACTCTTATCCCCAACTAACCCCCAGAAAACCAGAAGTGGAGCTGAGACTCAAAGTGCAGAGGGACAGTACCCAGGCCCTGAGTTATGACTGGTGCTTGCTTCAGCAGCACATAGACTAAAATTGGACCAATACAGAAATTAGCCTGACCCCTGCACAAGGATAGCACACAACTTTGTGAAGTGTTACATATTTTTTAATCTGTTTTGAGGAGTGTAGGGGAACACATAAACTGTGGGACAAAGGGTGAACAAATGCAGCAGTGATACTTACTAGACACTGTGTTAAAAATGAACTATACAACTTGTTGATGGGAGTCAGGAGGGAAGAGGTGATCTGTTAAAAAAGAAATGTATTCATTTCTTTTTGTACTGTAACTCTTCTGTACATCACCTTTATAATAACCATAAAAAAATAAAAGCTACAACTGACAAAAAAAAAGTGGAACCAACTCCAGTAACCATTACAAATGAAGGAATAAAAAATACGGTATATACTCAAATTGGAATGTTGTTCAGCCTTAAAAAGCAAAGGGAATCTGACATGTGACAACCTTGATGGATGTTTAAGACATTATGCTAAATGAAATAAGGTGAGTCATAAGAAACAGCAACTGTGTAGTTCCACAGGGAGAGGAGGAATAGAAAGTTACTAAGATGAGGGGCTGGGAAGGTGGCTCAGTGGTAGAGCGCTTGCCTTGCATGCCTGAGGTCCTGGATTCGATTCCTCAGCACCACATAAGCAAAAAGAAAAAAGCCGGAAGTGGCGCTGTGGCTCAAGTGGTAGAGCACTCGCCTTGAGCTGAAGACAACGTCCAGGCCCAGAGTTCAGGCCCCACGACCGGACCCAAAAAAAAAGAAAAGAAAAGAAAGTTACTAAGATGATGAAAAAAGTTCTGCTGCTGATGGTGATGGGTGGCACAACAATGTAAATATACTTAGTGCCAATTAAAATTGGCACCAGAGGTAGAACAATTGGTTGGCATGCACCAGAACCTTGGTTTAGTCCCAGGCAAAACAAAACAAACAAAACAAACTATAGGAAGCTGGGGATATAGATGTAGTTCAGTGCTAGAGTGCTTACTTGGCATGCACAGTACCCTGAGTTTGATGTCTGGCACAACACAACACAATACAACACAACAAAGGTAAAAGGACAAATTTTTGCCAGGTCCTGGTGGTTCACATCTGTAATCCTAGCTACTCAGGGGGCTGGAAAGGTGGCTCAGTGGTAGAGCGCTTGCCTTGCATGCCTGTGGCCCTGGGTTCGATTCCTCAGCACCACATAAGCAAAAAGAAAAAAGCCGGAAGTGGCACTGTGGCTCAAGTGGTAGAGCGCTAGCCTTGAGCTGAAGAGCTGAGGGACAGCGCCCAGGCCCAGAGTTCAGGCCCCACGACCGGACCCCAAAAAAAAAAAAAAAATCCTAGCTACTCAGGGGGCTGAGATCTGAGAATCATGGCTTAAAGTCAGCCCAGGCAGGAAGTCCATGTGACTTTTATCTCAAATTAACCACCAAAAGCATGGGGAAGTAGAGCTGTGGCTCAAGGACCATGCCCAGGCACTGAGTTAAAGCTCCAGGCCTGGCATACTCACACACAAAAGGATAAATTTTATACAGTTGTTACTAAAATTTATTTTTAAAAGTTCAACCTCAAGCTGGTATCAGTGGCTCACTCCTGTAATTCTAGCCACCCAGGAGGCTGAGAGCTGAGGATCATGATTCAAAAGCAGCTAGGACAAGAAAGTCTGGAAAAAAAAAAAAGTCCACCAAAAAGCTGGAAATGGCACTGTGACCCTAAGTAGTAGAGCACTAGCCTTGAGCACAAAGGTTCAGGGACAGGCCATCACTTCAAATTCCAGGATTAGCAAAGGCTGCGCATACATGCACACATGCGTGTGCGCACGCGCACACGTCCACACACACACACACGTCCACACATGCGCGCGCGCGCGCACACACACACACACACACACACACACACACATACACACAAACTTAAACCTTTTTGGATTAGAAAACCTAGGCAGTTGATTACAATAAGTCAGTTCTATACTACTCTTGTTGCTCATGCCTGTAAGCCTAGTCACTTGGGAGGCAGAAATCAGGAGGATCAAGGTTCAAGACCAACTCAGACAAAACTTCTTTGAGAATCTCCCCACCCCTATCAGCCACTAAAATCTGTGCATATGGGGCTGGGAAGGTGGCTCAGTTGTAGAGTGCTTGCCTTGCATGCATGAGGCCCTGGGTTCCATTCCTCAGCACTACATAAGCAGAAAAACCCGGAAGTGGCACTGTGGCTCAAGTGGTGAAACACTAGCCTTGAGCTGAAGAGCTGAGGAACAGTGCGCAGGCCCAGAGTTCAGGCCCCACGACTGGCAATAAATAAACAAACAAACAAACAAATAAATAAAATCTGTGCATGTCTTTTATCTCAGCTACATGCTTAGTGTAAATCAGAGGATTATAATCCAAGCTAGGCTTGGTGTAAATGTGAGATCCTATTTTAAAATAACCAGAACAGCCAGGTGCTGGTGGCTCACGCCTGTAATCCTAGCTACTCAGGAGGCTGAGATCTGAGGATCACGGTTCAAAGCCAGCCGGCGCGGCAAAGTCCATGAGACCCTTATCTCTGGTAAACCACCAGAAAACCAGAAGTGGCACTGTGGCTCAAGTGGTAGATTGCTCGCCATGAGCTGAAGAGCTGAAGGACAGCACACAGGCCCAGAGTTCAAGCCCCACAACCAACAATAAATAAATAAATAAACAAACAAATAAATAAAATTGGATAACTAGAGCAGGTAGTAGGAATGTGGCTTAGTGGTAGAGTGCTTGCCTAGCATGCATGAAGCCCTGGGTTCGATTCCTCAGTACCACATAAACAGAAAAAGCTGGAAATGGCACTGAAGCTCAAGTGGTAGAGTGCTAGCCTTGAGTAAAAGAAACTCAGAGACAATGCCCAGGCCTTAGTTCAAGCCTCAGGACTGGCCAAAAAAAGAAAACAAAAAAGAAAAAACAAAACAGCAAACAGGCTAGGGGCATGGCTCTTGTGGTAGGTACCTACTTAACAATTCAAGTGCCTGAGTTCAAGCTCTAGTACTGCAAAACAAATAAAAATAAACAAATAAGTTCTATTTGAAACAGAAGGAAGAAAAGTGAGAGAGAGAAAGAGAAAGGCAGAGTGAGAGAGGAGAGAGGAAAGAAGAGAGAGGAGAAAGAGAGATCAGTTCTATTTCCTCTGAGTCAGAAGTTTCTAGGATGGTCTCTGCTGCTTGGTCATAGCATGGTCAGACTGTATTATGCAGCCAGTTGTACTGTTCATCTGTTTTGTTGTGTTGTTGTTGTTGCTGCTGCTGCTCCTGGTCCTGGGGCTTGAACTCAGGACCTTGGCACTGTCCCTGAGCCTCTCTGTGCTCAAGGCTAGGACTCTACCCTGCCATTCTGGCTTTTTCTCTTTATGTGGTACTGAGGAATTGAACCCAGGGTTTTATGCATGCTAGGCAAGCACCCTACCACTAAGCCACATTCTTAGCCTCACTGCTCATCTGTTCTTGCTGGCTAGTTAACTGTTTTCTTTCTGGTAACCTGTGTTTCACTTTCTTTTTGGGAATCAGCCCCTCTTTATCCAGTTTCTGTGGTTGTTGTGAAGTTGGCTCTAGTGTGTTCCAGAAATGGAGCATGTTTAACAGTGGAAACCAATCTGTGTATACAGCATATACATTACACCAGGGCTGGCTCAGGGATAGGCATACCATTCAATTAGAGCAAATGGGTGCAGTTAAGATTTTCCTTGTGTATGCATATGTGTGTGTGTGTGTGTGTATGTGTGTGTGTGTGTGTGTGTGTGTGTGTGTGTGTGTTTGTGCAGTCCTGGTGCTTGAATTTAGGGCCTATGTGCTGTCCCTGAGCTTTTCTTTTTTCTGCTTGACTTGAGGTTAGCTCCACTTCCAGCTTTTTTGGCCTTTAATTGCAGATAAGTCTCATGAACCTTTCTGCCCTGGCTGGCTTCAAACCCTGATAATTATATCTCAGCCTCCTAAGTAGCTAGGATTACAGGTGTGAATCATAGGCACTCAGTTCTCTGGAAGTTTTTATGCCAGTATTGGTACTTGACCATAACACTTCTTACTCTTGCTCAGCTTTTTCAGTGATGGTTGGTGCTCCACCACACAAACTATCCCTCAACTTCTGGCTTTTGCTGGTAATTGGAGGTTAGGGTCTCATAGCATCTGATTAGGCTGGCTTCAAACTGAGATTCTCAGATCTCAGCCTCTTAAGTAGCTAAGATTATAGGCATGAGATATCGACAAGAGGCTTTTTGCTGGATTTTTGTTATTGGTGGTGGTGGTTGTGGGGCTTGAACTCAGGGCTTGGGTTCTTTTGCTTAAGGCTAGTGTTCTATCTCTTAAGCATAGCTCTATTTCTGGGTTGTTGTTTTTTTTTTTTTTTTATGTGTGGTTAATTGGAGATTGGCCTTTCTTACCTGGATTGGCTTTGAACCACTTAGCCACCTGAGTAGCTAGGATTACAGGTGTGATTTTACTAGTGCCCAACTGGAATGTATGTGTGTATGTGTGTGTGTGCTGGCTGGACCTGGGGCTTGAACTCAGGGCTTGGGCTCTATCCTTCAGCTGTTTTGCTCAAGGCTAATGCTCTACCATTTGAGCCACAGCTCTATTTCTGACCTTTTGTGGTTAGAGATAAGAATCTCACAGACTTTAGGCTGGCTTCTAACCAAAATCCTCAGATCTGAGCTTCCTAAATTGCTAGAATTATAGACATGAGTCACCTGTGCATGGCTTTTCTCTGTGATATTTTTTTCTTTTTTGCTGGTTCTGGGGCTTGAACTCAGGACCTGGGTGCTGTCCCTGAGCTCTTTGTGCTCAAGGCTAGTGCTCTACCACTTGAACCACAGCACCACTTCTAGCTTTTTCTGAGTAGCTTATTGAGCACAAGCGTTTTTCACAGACTTTCCTGCCTGGGGTTGGCTTTGAACACGGATCCTCACACCTCAGCCTCCTGAGTAGCTAGGATTATAGGCATGAGCCACCAATGCCCCACTATCTCTAGAATTTGGGGGAGAGAATTTCTCTTATTTTTTTTTCTCTGAGATGTGATGATGATGTTGACAAATACTAATAGTTCATATTTATTGTTTATTCTACATCAGGGGGCATTCTAAATTCTGAACTTATTTTA